CTTTGAAAACAAGAAAACGACATTATACCTTCTCTTTAGGTTTAAGTCGTTTTATTTTATTTATGGTGGAGGACAAATTCTTGACTTTTTATGCAGATTAATGTACAATTTTCAATTCTGTGTTTGCATCTTTCTATGAAAACTCGCAATCAGAAAAGTTTAAGATTTACATAGATTGAATACTGTTTTGTTTTTTTATATACTATGAATGCGCATAAAATCGTCCTAGAAAATATGTGGGTCAAGTTTAAAGTATGAATAATAAAGTAATCAAAATTTGTTAAAACAGAGTGTCGTTGGAGATTTTGACGCAAATCACTTGCTAGTTTAACAAAATTCTAAAACTTTTCTTAGAGATGTTGTTAGTATTGAGGAAGAACTTGTTACCTGTAAGAGGCGGAGTATTTTACACTAAGGGAATTATGTAATATATTGGTTGTGAGCTCGTCATTTTATATTCACAATTAAGACATCTAACTTATAAATGCAGAAAAATATTATTAACCCGTAGTACTAGAAGAAAAACGTTGTTTGACTCTGAATGATATGTTATCACGTTGAGGTATGTATACATAATACTGCAATTACACCAATTACAACTAATCAGGTTTAACTTGAAAACCCAATATTACAAGTATTTGACAAAAGTCAACAGTACTAAGTAACGATATGAAATTGAGGGCACGTATTAGTGTGAGCATCAAGTTTAGGGCATAGTGCTAATGAAATTTGGGATGGGGTGTGATATCTACACATCCCATTTTACTTTTTACACACCCTTCTAATTTTCGACCTTCGGGTCGGATGGATTGAAAAAAATCAACAGATAAAAATTAACAAGAGTGTGTAAGGAGTAATTTGAGGTGTGTGGATAACACATCCCATTTAGGATCTGTCCGAAAGGGGCACCCTTCGGCAATTTTAGGCCACAAACTTCACATGTGGTTAGAACATGTACATGGATGAAACCAAATGCTTTGACAATAAAGGCACCGAAATGTTTGACGAATGAGGATCCTTTCCAATCCCCTTTGTGAGGATTATAAAGATCTTCTAATTGTATTCATTTATTGTACATCATACGATCATAAATTATTTTAAAATTTTTATTTAAAATTAAATACAAATAATATATGAGAAAATTGATCGTACGATTTACGATGAACGAATATGATTAATGAATCATCTGGATCCTCACAAAGAGGATCCGTTCATGTTTTGACAATTCTTTTAAAACAGTCCGAAACTTTTTTAAATAATTAAAAACACTTTATACCGAGTTAGCACAAAAAATCACTTCTAAGTTTGGGGAAGAGATCCTCCTTCAAAAGCCACAGATCAAGTGATTCGAATCCTTAAAATTTGATCAAACGGCTAAAAATTATTATAACTTTTAAAAGTTTTTATTAATTTTCTGTTTTTAGTCGTTGCATCAAATTTCAAAGGTCCAGATCACTCATGACTTAATCCCGTGAACTTTGAAGGAAGAGATCCTCGGATCTCTTTCCCTAAGTTTGTGCTTTATGGAGACCTTTCGAGAAGTACTTTCAGGTGTTTTGTAAAAACATAAGTACTTTTTACATCTCGAAAGACCAAAAAGTCTTATAATGATAAAATTGTGAACCAACGCCACATAGAAGTGATCAGTAACATGTCATATTTCAAAAAAAAAAAAACAAAACAAAACAAAAAAAAAAAAACATTTCTCATGAAACGCTTATACGCTAAACCAAAATATCACGACATTAAGGTATCTAATCAAAACCACAAAGAGGAGGCCCTACTACAATTATCATAGTCAATTAGTCATTAAAGTAATGGGATCATTAGTCTATCCATAAGTTCATATTCACACCTAAATACATACCCCACAAATTGATCTTTTTTATATTCCACTCAATCTTCAAGCACCACTATGTATCTCAATTGGATCCATCATACCCTCCCCTGCTACACCAAACAAGTCTCCATGCATCCTCTTCCTCATTTCTTTATTCTTTAAAACCCCCCAAGAATTCAATTATTTTCAAGAAACCAACCACCCCTCTATTCCTCTTGGCTATAAGATCCGCTTTGGTCACTGTGTTTATATTCAAACCCGCAATTCTGTTCGGATTAAAAATATTTTTGGTCACTCTGTTTGCGCCCGATTTTACTCAAACTTTCGTTTCGTTGCTCATTTCTTTAATCCCACACAAGTCTCTTTCGGATCTGCCGCTCTGCGTGTTCTCAAGTTCTGTGGCGTCACTCTTTACCTTGTATTCCGGTTTCTAGATGCACACCCACAAAACAACAAACGAAACCCAATCACAGCCCCTAAACACTTTTAACCAAAATTAATCCGATTTAATTAAGCCACCCTTTTGACCAACCAATAATTCTTCCACAGATGTGAATCTTCGCTTCGTCATCACACTTCATAATTTTATCTCCATGATCTCTTTTTCCGCACTATAAATACTCATACATATAGTGTGCTCTGCAACTACCACAATCCTGCAGCTAGACCAAGTGTCGAACACCTTGCAAACTTACTTTTCGATTCATGAATTCTTCAAGAAACTCGAAGTTTTCGATCATTTCTTCATCTGGGTAGTTTTGCTTTACGTGTTTGTATGCGAATTTCGGCAATGGCGGCTCCGAGAACATCGTCTGGATCAAACCCAGGTTCCGATCAGTGTTCTAAACAGGAAATCAGCATGAGGAAATCTGAGCCGTTGATTCCCGGATTGCCGGATGAGGTTGCTGAGCTCTGCCTGCTTTATCTTCCATATCCGTACCAGGCTCTGGTGCGTTCGGTCTCTGCTTCATGGAAAAGAGCCATTACAGACCCTAGCTTTGTTCTTTGCAAGAAGTCTTTGTGTTTGCCTTTGCCTTATCTTTTCGTTTTCGCCTTCAACAAATCAACGGCTAGGATGCAGTGGCAAGCGTTGGATCCGCGATCTGGCCGTTGGTTTGTTTTGCCTCCCATGCCGTGTCCCAAGGCCGCTTGCCCGCCGGGGTTCGCATGCGCTTCCCTGCCACGTGAGGGGACGCTCGTTGTATTGGGCGGCGTGCGGGCGGACAGGGAATCCTCTATGAAGACAACCATCGTCTATCGTACATCCACCAATCAATGGTCAACAGCTACTCCAATGTCGACCCCGCGGTCATTGTTCGACGCGGGAAGTATCAATGGAAAGATCTTGGCCGTTGGAGGCGACAAGGCTTGCAATGGCAGTTCGATCAGGGCCGTAGACTGTTACGACCCGGTGAAAGACACATGGGCGCCATGTGCCACCCTGCCAGCTGGATTGGCCAAGTATGACTCCAACGTGGTGGGCAACAAGATGTACGTGACCGAGGGGTGGACGTGGCCGTTTATGCACTCGCCACGTGGTGTGGTCTACGACCCCGATGATGACACGTGGCAGGAGATGAGGCCGGGAATGAGGGACGGGTGGACGGGCGTGAGTGTGGTCGTGGGCGGCAGGCTCTTGGTGATATCGGAGTATGGGGACTGTCCGATTAAGGCGTACGACCCTGATAAGGACACGTGGCGGTACGTGGGTGGGGACAGATTCCCATGTGAGGCACTGAGACGTCCCTTTGCTGCGAGCGGGGTGGAAGGGAACATATGTGTGGTGGCATGTGGGTTGAATGTGGGAATTGGAAGGCTGTCCGAGTGCGAAGCAGAGCTAAAAGTTGAGTGGCAGCTTCTGCCAGCTCCAAGTGCTTTTAGGGGATTTTCTCCTTCTAGTTGTCAACTTCTTTTCGCCTAAATTATTGACTTGTTCAATTATATACACAATTTCTATGTTATAACTTCCATATTTGTTTGGTTATAATATTGTTCTACAGCTAGCTATGCCTAGTATTTGCTTTGCTCTTCCGCAGACATGGAAGCACTTTTGTAGCTTTGTATGAGCACTTAATTGACCCAAATTACTATAATCTGACCTATAATTAACTTATTAACCCTCTTGGTGGGCTATGAAATCAGTCATATCTTATCCAAATCTTTGTGCGAGATTTTGCATGAGAATGATTCTCTCATCTTCTAATCTCTCTCCCCTTTCTTTTCCTCTTATTTGAACGGTCATGGTTAATTCACATCAACATCTTATATTGATTTTTTTTATAGAGATAATAAGACAAAAAACAATGAGTGAGAGGAGAGGAGGGAAATGGATGAGAATAGAATGGGAGAGAATCATACTCCTATTTTGCATTGGTTCAAATTAAAGTTTTTGAATTGATGCCATACTTTTTAGTAAAAAAATAAAGAAATAATGGATGACAATCGTTTTTTGACAAAGATAAAAATTTCGACTACAATCAACTAAGAAAAATGACTTATAATTTAGGTGGTTATGATCGTTTAACCCAAATAGGGATGTTGTGCTCGAATCACCTATCTTCAATATTGCTGGTTTGAAAGATAAAATAGAATCAACCAATCATTTGGGTTGGTTTTCTGTGTTTTGAGTCGATTCAGATCGGTTTTCTTACTATTAAAAGTTGAATTACTTATTTGAAGGGGGTTGAGAGTTGCAACATCTTTTTCATGCTTTCAATTATTGGACGGAAAATTCAAAGCAATCCAATTAAGGCCAAAGATCTTTAAATAAGATTGCGAAGCATCCACTTGAATTGATTTATATTGACAAGCATCATTGATGTTTTGAAAAAGCAAGGCGTGACAACAATAACTCGTGACTTAGTGCACGAGAATAGTAGCGAGATGGATGAAAATGATGAGGGATATGATTCCCTTTTTTTAAATTACCATTCATTTCACATTACACCGCCGTAGATTTTTGCACCGAGTTTCAAGGAAGTTTTCATCAAAAAAGCAAAAGCGTGAGTGCGACGATCGATATAGCATCAACGTGGAAACTGCACATGCACGATTGATTCTAGTATTTTCGAAAGTCGCTTGCGTCAAAACAGATAAGTCACAAATGTTGACACGCATTTGAGGAAAATAAGGAACACAGAAGACAGAATCAACGCGTATATAATAATATCTAGATAAGATAGATTTAACATAAAGTTGTTATCTTATGTAAATTGTACTTGTCACCTTTGGGGTTGGAATCTTCTACATACGCGGTTTTTACATAACCATTGGACCTGCCTTCCAACCAGCCAGATTAAGCTACGTTTTTCTGGAAGTTCCCTCTCTCTGTGTATAAATCGGAATTGCCTTGCACCTTGTAAGCCGGCGAACGGTTTCAGTTTCCGATCACTTGGAGCAAATCTCGTAGCAGCAACCAGAGACAGGAAAGAAAGGCAGACAGGCGGAGGAGCAAGCAAAGCCGGAAACCCTAGAAAGGCTCGAGGTCAAAGGAAGAAGGAAGAAGGGTATTCGATCATGTGTTTGGTGTTCGTGTGTGATGAAGAGGAGAGGGTGCTGTCGAGGCAACCGGCACCGGGGGCATGCCCTTACTGTGGAGGAATGGTGCAAGCCATGGATGTCGAGAGCAACTGGAGGTTTTGCTTCCTGCCGCTGTATTGGAGGACCAAGCGCAAGCTCTACTGCAGCTTGTGTGCTAGAAAATTGGTAGTGCAGTGATGAACTCACATGATATGTAGAGAGCTTACAGTTTTTGGTTTTGTATATATAGCAGAATATATACTGCGAATGACAGACTCTATTAACATGTACTTGCAATCGTTTTCGATTTCTTTCTAAATTTCGTCTGATTGCTCCCGTTCTTGCTCCAAAACAATATGAATGAATTTTCCGACTGAATCGAACCGCCTTCCGGATTTTACTTCTTAACCAATTAGGATTGCTATTTCTCCAACTGTGTTCTAACACATTCAACATAAACTGAAAGAACAACTGAAAAAAAATCCTATGAACCTATTCATAAACGAACAAGTTAACCTTGAAACTCGTACACAATTCATGGCTGTGGACTAATGAGGATGACAGTAACTTCACTTGCAGAGTTTCAACTTTTTAAAATACGCCGATACCGCGGATTTGGGGTAGGGCTTTGTGGCGAGACAGGTTGGGAAGTTTTCGGGTTGCTCAATCCACAGCTTGTGCGCTATGCCACCTGCTTTCAGCTTCTCTGACAAATTCAATATCTGGGGTTCACCCTTCACCTCAAGAGTAACCTGCAGCAAAGGTTAAATAACAACACTACATGCAAAACAAAAACCAGCAGTAGTCCAAGCAATTCTCAAACCCAATTAACCGATTAACAAGAAAATTCCCAGCATAAATCTCAATAACCCAATTGAACGAACAGTAACTTTAAGCTATGCAACCTCATATTACCGTACATGTTTACCTCTGTAAAGACTCTAACTTTATGCTGTGACACGACGAATTTCATACATTCTGTGCGCCCAAGTGGACAAAATTCACAGTATAGGCTAAAACCCTTTTTTTTTTTAAAGAAGAGGTAACATTAACATCAAAGTTCAAATTTCCCTCCTCGTAGTTTAGATTACGTTAGAATACCGCTCCGGTAAAAGGAACATGAAAAATACTAAGAACCACACCTTCATTCCACATTTGGTAACCAAAACCCTGAAATCCAAACTGATAAACACAACAAAATCCAATTTTTTTTTCCTTCACAATTTAAAGCTTTTGGATTTACCTTATGCATAGAATCGATGTTTTCCGGGCCACAGTACTGGAGGGTGACGGGGTCGTCTTTGTGGGGGACCAAATGGCGGACGCGGAAGCATGGCAGCCCTGTGTGACCACGCTGCCCATCGGCCACGTGTCGATTAGGTCTCGCCGGAGCACGACGTACTGAACCAGGACGTCCGTGGTGTCGGACTTTGGGACGTCCGGATTGCCTTCGGCTGCGGGTTGGCTCATCGAGTTGTGAATAAGTCGACTCGGGGCGGGGGCCGCGTTGGACGGAGGTTTGGCCCCAAATCTGGTTCGAGGGATTGAGAGTGAGGGCGAGGTGGGACGAAGTGGCGCGAGTAGACACGCCATGGTATGGGTACAAGTTGGAGCATCCACACTCTGTCCTACATCTCAATCAGTGTAGGAACGACCCATTTGTCAAAAGAGTAGGGCCTAAACTTGATCTTTTTGTATTTAGCCCAACTTCAGGCCCAACCCAAGCTCGCCATCACTTTTTAACAGGACGGTGTTCTAATTTACGGGAATATAGATGTTATTAACCAACTGGACAAACCCACGTTTACAGCTCAATGTTACTTTTTTTTTTTTAACAAACGATCTTATCTATACTAAGAGAAATGAGGGTGGGATTAGCCTCACAATGGCTAACAATAATGTAGTTCAAATTCACCTTTAGCGAGAATCAAACTTAAGACCTCTCACTTACATATGAAGAAGAATATTACTTGACCGTAGTACTAAATACAAAAAATATAATGACTGTAGCATTTGCTCGTGGACATGGCTGAATGGTCTTCTTCGAGTCCGGAGATGCTTCTGCTCCTGGACATGACATAAGTTGATTGAGCTTAAATTTTTCAAACCTGTCTTGATCACATTTTAGCATCCGCGGCCAGGCCCAACATAATAGTTAAAAGAAAAACACAGTTATAAAGCAAGTAGTGGAAAACGTGCTCTTACCTAAAAACAATGTGGGAATTGACTCCAACCAAGCTGTAGCAAACTGGTTGGAAGTTAGGTAGTTGAGATATGAAGCAAAATAAAGGAAGCACATCATGTTGCTTCGCTCGCAAGAATGAATGAGTGACAAATTGAGTTCTTCGACTCTTAGTGGTATGGGATTGGATGAATTTGCTTTTGAGTAATGTTATTTATACCATGTTTTTCTATACCATCTTAGGTGACATCTGATGTAGACAACCACATCATTTGAAAAATTTGCAAAACCCAAGGAAATGAAGGATAAATACTCTTCGTATACCACAATCAACATTTAATTAACTAGTTTTTTCTTAATTATTAGTTTATTAAATAATGAACTAAATTTAAAAATCTGATTAATTCAAATGATGTGGCTGTCCACATCAAATGCCACCTAAGGTGGTATGAAAATGTGGTACAAAAACATCGTATGAATAACATTACTCTCCATCCTCCCTCCAACAAAAGATTCTAGTGACTTCCAAACTTAGGTTTCATGGCTAATGCTTTCACTATTTTTAGGTTTTGATTAATTCCATCAGCTTCTGTTTCTTGTGTTTTCTTGTTTGCTCGTTTTCCACCTTTCCATTGAAAGATGATATTGATGGATACGTTTTTTTATTTCTTGAGATTCCGTATAATTTCCGTAATCTCTAATTTTTTGTATAATTAAATCATCCCCTTTATGTATTTCTTGTATAGCAATTATACCTGTAAGTTGTAAGTCAAGCTACCGTACTCGTATATAATTCAATGATAATTCACCCTCAAGACTTTCGAGGGATTCAGCCACTTACCTTCTTTACCTTCCTCGATTTGGTCTTCTGTGCAATCCATAATTTTTTATGGTATCTCATAGCCCTTTGACTAACGTCAAAACCTTTTTTTTTTTTCTTTTTCCCGATCCTTTCCCTCCGTTTCTCACGCTATTAATATCAGGCTTAACTCTTCCAACCATTCTCTCTGGTTGGCTCAGCTGCTTCCGGTTCTCAAGAGCCTCCAATTGACGGCTTTCGTTGACTTGATGGTTCTTTGGAGTGTCCCTGCAATTTCTGCGCAACAAAGGCGGCAACGTGACTTACCACGTCCAACCCGGCGTATGCTGATTGGGCCTCACAAAATCACCGAAGACTTTTAATGTGCGCGTGTTTTTTTTGTTTCTCGTTCTGACGGGTCATTCTACTAACGTTCTCTCTTAAATAGCTCATATTCATCTGTTAAATTTCTCTTAGTTCTTCCATGCTCGTACTACAGTTAGATTCAGCAATGTATGTCAAACGTTAAAACGCATCCCAAATTCTAATGGATGTCCAGCTCAACACAGCAGAAGTTCAGTCCAGTTTTCCTAAGAAAAAAAAGTACTCTCTGTTTTCAATTTCCCCTTTTCTATGGATGGGAAAAAGGATAAAAGGTCAGCAATATTTTATAGTCAATATTCCATACCAAAAATTGACCTAAATAATTGATTGAGGGGCAAACATGTCTTTGTACTTCACACATCCGATCCAGCGGATCACCATACGTTTATCCATATCCGATTAACACTAAAAATAAATCAAAAAATAAAAAACGATAATCCACAAAGGAATCATACTGCTAAAATATTATGCGAGGAGACCTGAATTTATGGTGAAAAGTTGTTAATCATAATCCTGTGTCAAGTCCGTTCGCAATGTCGATCCAATTAGCAATTATCGTTGTTCTTTTTTGTTTGTTTTTTGGTCAAAATTCAAATATTATTAAAGATAAATTGAAATATTTACATCAAAAGCTAGAGAGGTTAATAATCATTCTGATTTAAAGCGATCCCATGTATGAAAACCTCCTACACGCATAAAATAAAAAGTCACTTAATACGTAACCCTATTACAGACACGAGGAATAAAAAAACCTCTACTGAACACAATTGTTAGCAATTATCGTTGTTCTCATATCCGTCGAGATGTAGGGGCAAAAGTATCTTTTTACCTCATTAGTCGTCACTTGGTTGTTTTTTTTGTTTTTTTTGTTTTTGGAAAACTAAACGTCACTTGGTTGTTTAGATAGTATTAGGTTGACTGACTTGGGCTTTAATTTTGATAAGCGTAGACTTCTAGAGAGTCTGTTGGTGACATGGTGTCGTGGCGCGAGATGAGTGCCGGTTTTCTTTTTTTATTTAGAATTTTAACAAAATACTTTTGGTACTGTTCATTTTTAACGAAAAATCATATTTATATATTTTTTTGATATTCTTTATTCTTCTGCCTTTAAAATGATTTTTCATTAAAAGTGAAGTTTTTTTAATTTTTTTTGTTAATTTTCCTTTCTTTTGATGGTTAATTCACTTATTTATTTTTATTTTATTTTTTTAATATAACGTTATACCAACAAAAAATGACCACAATGATTTTTCTGCCCCAAGTCAGGAGTTTCGTTGATTTGAACAAAGATCTTTTACCGTCTCACGACTCTCCCGACGAAGAAACAAAGTTAGCCATATATATTTATATATTTATAAATTTTTTTCTGACTGCCCACGTACAAACAACACAAACCCCTCCATCCATCCAACAACCCTAAAACTAAATAAAATTAAAAATTATTAAAAAAAATACCACCAGTTGTTACTGCTCATCGTGTTCCTGCAGATCTGAGAGGCAATAGCAACTCTTTGACTTGAAGCTCTTCAGCCTCCTGTCGAGCAGTTTCTGTGGGGGCCTCCTCCTCTCCTGATCCTCCTTCTCGTCCGATGAAGATTGCTCCGACGACGCGTTCTCTCCCTCGCCTTCTCGATCGCGGTCGTGTTCGTCGTCATCTTCGTCTCCGTCTTCGGCTAGGGCTAGCAGCGGCATGGACTTAGGGTTTGGCCAGTTGTAGAGGGAGGAGGAAGACGAAGATCTTCTCGACCACTTGGAGGCGATCAGAACCCGCCGCCGCTTGTTGAATGGGTTGTCCTGCTTCTCCACCTCCTTGACTGAACTCACAGTGCTGCTTACTTCTGACAGGCTGGCAAATGACTTTGATTTTCCTGAAAAATAGTTGGATAATCCCCTCCTGAAAAAATTAAAACAAAAATTAATTAACTATGGGACGGATCAGAAACTGAAAATTCAGTAAAAATGATCGGTATGAGATTAATATTTGCAGATCTGGAAGGGTTTACTTGATTGGGAGAGAATCTTCGAGTGATCCAAATGAACCCAGAGAACCCAACCCTCCTCCGCCACCATTAAACTTGCTCTGCACCTCGTCGCCGTTATCGCCTTTGGAGTCTTCCTCTTCCTCGCTGTCATCCGGAACACCGATAGACGACGAGCTGTCCGACGACGCCTCCTCCGCCACCGCGGCGCCGCGGTCCTGATTCAGGTACAGACCGCCGCGGTTGCGGTTGTCCTGCTTCGGCGCGGGGCCGTAGGACGATACGTCGAGGGAGAAGGTGGGGCCCACTAGGACGTCCATTCGAAGCAACGGAAAAGAACGAACTGGGAGTTTCCGAGACGGCGATCGGGGGAATTACGGATTTACCCTTCACCGATGCGTCGGCGTCGTCGTTTGAGCTTCCAGATAACGGGGCTTGTATTCATCAATTGAAAGGAAGAAGAAGAGGAAGACGGAGAGTCACATGATCCAGGGCGTGCGCAGGTTAAGGAAGCGGTGGAGGATAAGAGGAAAAAAACAGGTTCAGAAGGAGAGTAAAGGTGGATAGGCATATATATAGACAACAGTGAGTCGCATGAGTTTTGAGGGGGCAAGGAAAAGGCTAACGTCCACCGTAGGCGAATAGGGACGCATGCGCACGCGCTCGCGCTCGGACACGTTCGCGATTACGTGGCGACGACAGTGACCAAGAAAATCCATTTCCGGAAACTCTTATTATCTTATTTATGTCAATACAATATCTCTACACTCTTCCTAGTTCCCACGCTTTTTAAGAGAAGATAATATGTATTTATATGCATTACAAATCCTTTATTTTTGGTCTTTTATTTATTTTTTATTGGTCAAAACAAACATTTAATCGTTTACCGATCAATGATTATTTAATAAATAAACGAATCATATTTTTTATGTTAACGTTGAAAATTAAATAATAATAAACTGTTAAACAATTTTTAAATTAGTTGATATTTTCATAATAAATTGGTTATGATGACTAAGCAACGTTGTAGAATGCAAATGAGAGTCGAGAAGATAAAACAATGAGATTCAAGTGAGATTGTTGTTAGCAAGCGGAAGTGCTAATATTTTTGTACTAGTTACTAATTATTCTGCCACTTAATATTACAGTTTAGTGGTATTCATCTTCGTTTATATGTGATAGGTCTTAGGCATGATTCTAACTAAAGACGAATTTGAACCACATTATTGTTAGTCCATTATGAGACCAAGCCCACTCCCCCGCTCTTTTAGTATAGATAATATCTTAATTAAGAAC